CATATCTGTCTTTGTTCGATTTTTACCTTAAACCTGTGCCTCCTTAAACTATAACATTTTCATATCTGTCTTTGTTCGATTTTTACCTTAAACCTGTGCCTCCTTAAACTATAACATTTTCATATCTGTCTTTGTTCGATTTTTACCTTAAACCTGTGCCTCCTTAATCTATGAGTTTTTCGTTTCTCTGTGTTTGTTCTAATTCTTCATGAAACCTGTGCTTCCTTTAAACAGTCAGTTTTTCATCGCCCTGTCTTTTACAACACTTTTTCTTTCACTCCCACAGCCACAAGCAGACAAGAGTTATCTCTCCATCGATTCCTCATTACGGACGAGTCCCATGACCACACCGTCTTCCTCCCAGAGTTCCCTGCCGGCCGGTTCTGGCCGGTACCGGTTCGCTCCCACGTTTGAGTCCACGCCACACACAAGCGGCAACACAAACATCAATGGTACAAAGTTTTCTCTTTGTTGGGCTGGATGTTTCTTTGTCTAAGAAGTAACAACGTCAGATTAGCAGAGGATTCTTTGGTACTGACCAGTCTGTTTGTTTTATAGATAGATAGATAGATAGATAGATAGCATTTGTATCATATGATTCTTTGGTACTGACCAATCTGTTTGTTTTATAGATAAATAGATAGATAGATAGATAGATAACATTTGTATCATATGATTCTTTGGTACTGACCAATCTGTTTGTTTTATAGATAAATAGATAGACAGATAGCATTTGTATAGCACAAATTCTGGTGATCTTATACTTTAGCACGTTAAATTCTTCATTTGAGGACTTCCGTAACGAGCGACCACTTTTAAATCTAGATTCTAGATCTAGATTATACTCATCAATGGCTTCCAAAATCATGATAGAAGACCAAAAACCAATGTTATACCATCTGTCCAGGACAAAATTACGGTAGTTTGCGCATTTTAAGGCCCAGTTCAAAGTTTTGAAGATCTGAGTCGGGGATTAGTGGACTTTGGGAATTTAACGTGCTAAAGTATAAGATCACCCAAATTCTCGCTCAACAGCAAGCTCTAATGGCTTAGATAAACAGATAGATTTACAAAATAATCTAATGTATACTATTTGATATATCCTTTTTGTCCTTGCCATTATTTGTCTCTACTGTCCGCTAGTAGCTTTGTGTTGTGATGTATGTCTTTCCAGCTGTCAGTCTTTTAAGAAACATTTGTGGCACTAGGAAACATTTCCTTTGGTCAAATGGAAAAGTGTGGGCTTTAGATCCTGACAGTCTCTGTGGATTTGAGTCCCAGTCTTTGAAATTGAAACTTGTCACTTTTTCCTTTAGTGATGAAAATAATTGTTTTAACAAATTTTAATGTAATATTATGTCTGTTTTTGTGAACGCCTTTGAGTTGTAGTCTATGATACGCTGTTTCACCAGAATCTACCATGTACTCTTCCACCACAGTCGACCATGTAATATTTCCTTTATGTTCTACAGACAGTCTTGACGAGAGTGGGGTATCTCTGGGAGCACATGCGCCCCCCACGTACAGCGCTGCCAAGATGAGAGGTGAGCACATAGAGCAGATTGTGTCCAGCCTGGTGATGACACAGATAGATGTAGACATTGTCTTAGACAGGTGGACAGCTTGGACAGTGTTGTACTCTGTGTTGCGTCATGGGTGCTTGTCACAGTTGTACTGTGTGTGACATCATAGGTGTTTGTCACAGTTGTACTATGTGTGACATCATAGGTGTTTGTCACAGTTGTACTGTGTGTGACATCATAGGTGTTTGTCACAGTTGTACTGTGTGTGACATCATAGGTGTTTGTCACAGTTGTACTGTGTGTGACATCATAGGTGCTTGTCACAGTTGTACTGTGTGTGACATCATAGGTGTTTGTCACAGTTGTACTGTGTGTGACATCATAGGTGTTTGTCACAGTTGTACTGTGTGTGACATCATGGGTGCTTGTCACAGTTGTACTGTGTGTGACATCATAGGTGTTTGTCACAGTTGTACTATGTGTGGCATCATGACATCATAGGTGTTTGTCACAGTTGTACTATGTGTGACATGACATCATGGGTGCTTGTCACAGTGGTACTATGTGTGACATCATGGTAAAATCAGAGCTTGTCACAATAGTGAAACTGAAGCAAACATTTTTCTGCCTTTTTGGCGATTTTTATAACTTTTTTCCAGTAAAATCCACATAGAATTGTGTTTTATATTTTACATGGGCATGAAAGGTGTTGAGCCGAAAAAACAAAAAATCGATATTAATTGCCTATTGGGCAGAAAAACGACAGTTTCTTCGATTATATTATTTTGACAAGCACCTGATTTCAGCACAATGCCTCACATACGACCCCAACACAGGGAGCTCTCAGTTCACTACAGTATTGAGCCCTGTGGCTTACCATGGGGGGGGGGGGGGGGGGGGCTGACGCCAGCCAGGACAGCAACAAAATAACGACAGGTCATCATGTTGGAGGCAATAAAATACTGATTTGCAATCATCTCAATCTTAGGCTCCATGTTTATGTGAGAGCAATTCTACTCTGTTAATGTGTAGATGTTTGGTGCCCTAGAAAAGCTGCTGTTGTATTGTCTGCTAAGCAAGAGGTTGCAGCCAGTTACAGGATTTGATTATCTTAGCAGCTGCCATTTTCCGAACAATTAACAGAGAGATAAAAGAATAGTGCCAAAGTTCTTGAAAGACGTATACCTTTCATATGAAATGGATAAATTTGGCATACAGGTACTTTGAAAATTTGGTTTCTGGCACTTACTTTTATGTCCATTTAAAAGCACATTGCTGTGTGGTATTCATTGATTATTTTGTAATGAAACTCATTTTTGTATAAGTGAGTGGGAATATTGGTTGCTGGTTGTTCTCTCCCCGACCCATGTGATAGTTTCATTGACAGTGCTTAATGTAAAGAAGTGTAATGAGAAGTAATGTACGATAACCAAATGTGTGTCACGACGCAGTGGAATCAGGCACCTGTCAATTTGGGGGCTTTTGGAGTTATTGGTATTATCTGAAAGCTTATTTATTTGCTTTGCTTTCAGTGAAAAAAATACCCGTCTATCTTGAAAAGAAGTCAAGATATTTGCGATTGAAGGGGGTGAGGTCTCTTGATTTCAATAGAGAAATTTTTTAGAAAATGGCCGCCAAAGTTTGGTAACTCCAGTAGCGAAAAAGTCATTGAAAGTTTAACGCCCCTATCAACACTATTAGGTCGTTTAAGAGGCGGGACCTCCTAGTTTAACGTCCGTCTCCGAAAGGACCGAGCCAAGTGGGAAATTTGTGTAAAATGCCTTTCCCAAGGACACAACGACGGACGGACCTGAGGCTCGAACCCCCGAACCCGCAGTCTCACGATTACGAGTCCGGTAGCCTAACCACTAGGCTACATTGAAAACTTTAAAAATGGCAATGATAATGTTTGCCTTCAATCAACGTTTTTCAGTAAAATTCACGCTGAAATGTTTTTATATGGACATAAAAGGGATTAAGTTAAAAAAAAATGAAAAATCTATTTTTAAAATGCCAAACTGGCAGAAAAATGCCTGTTTCTCCAGTTTTGTTATTTTAACGAGCGCCTGATTTCGCCACGCTGCTTAACATTTTTATAGTAACTGAATGATGACTGTGTCTCTGCAGGCAGCAACAACGTGGGTGACCTGTTCCACATGGCGGGGGAGGTGGGTCAGGCCGTGGGCTCGCTGGTCACCGTGATGACGGATGAGGAGGCGGCTGCGCTCAACGGCAGCGACAACACAAACGCCATCAAACACACGGAACAACTGTAGCCCCCGGGCATGTTAGCGAAACTGACTGACAGCACATGGAATTTTGATCCAACAAATTTCATTAAATGAAAATGATGATTACTTGTGCCACATGTATTCATGAAGAGAGAAAATGTGTATTCTTCATTCAGTATCTCCATTCTTATACTATTTAAGTCTTTTAGCAAGTGAAAAGATTTTTAATTTGTACTTTTATTGATGAAAATATTGATGTAATTTTTATGTTGAGTACTGCCACTTAGTTTTTTCGTTCAGCGTTGTGGTAATGAGGAAATTACATCTGCGCTTGAACAGACAGATAGATCTTTGAATAGACACTCTGGTTATAGATTTATGAATAGACACACTGGTTATAGATCTTTGAATAGACACACTGGTTATAGATTTATGAATAATCACACTGGTTATAGATCTTTGAATAACCACACTGGTTATAGATTTATGAATAATCACACTGGTTATAAATCTTTGAATAACCGCATTGGTTATAGATTTTTTTTTTAACACACTGGTTTCGAATCTGTGTTGAGGTTTTTCTAAAGTCTCCGTCATCATACATACATAGATAGATCTATGTATTAGATTTTACAGGAGGAGAAAGTTTGTACACTTTTAGCGCCTGCCATTCTTGGACGTGGATATGTATGTGGTGAGACGTAGTATGCTGAAACAGTTTCTTGGTTTCTCAGTTGTGGACTCTCATTGTAAGACAGTTCCTCTGTTCACGTTTTTGTCGTAGTATTTGCTTTTGGTAAAGTCTTGTTTAAAAAGTGAGGTTCCCGCGACGTAGAAAGTGCCTAATCAAATTGAATGTGTGATATAAATTGTGAATTGGTCTTTTTCTCATGTATTGATTGTCACATCCGCTCTGAAAACAACAATACATTCTGCATATTCTGCGACACCAAATATAATGTTATTTTGCCGACCAGAATGAACCATTTGTCGAACTTCTTTTCATTACTTTATTTTTTCACTCATTTACAGTGAGTATGATCTTTACAGCACGCTAAATAAAAATCTTTCGTAAATTCCTGTGATGTCCGAACCCTGTGATAACATGAGAGAAATTCAAAATTTATTTTTACAAAATTAATGCCCTTTTGAAAAAAAATTTTTTAAATTGTTCAGCGATCTGCATTGGATAGAGAAGAATATTTTACTTCATAAACAACATTTTATGCTGAATAAACAAACATTTATGCTGAATAAACAAACATTTATGCTGAATAAACAAACATTTATGCTGAATATTTTGAATACTGCAACAATTATTTGCAGGTAAAAAACAAAACGAGTTCTCCAGCTCAGCTGAACGAGCAAGTATACTGTCAGTGATGACGTCAGACCTAGGAGGAAGAATTGTGTCGCAGCGTGGCCGAATCAGGAACTCTTTACGTTTTGGGCATGGAGTTATTGCTATTAAATTGGAGCTTGTTTGATTTTTAGAAACATTGTGAAAAAAAGAATTGATCTAGAGAAGTTGAGACGGGTATAATAGATATGTGGGAATCAAGAATGTGGGGATTACCCGATGTTACAGATGAACTAGTTAGAAAATGGCTGCCAAACTTTGGTGACTTTTCAAGCTGAATATTTGCTCCCGTTCTACAAAATACTCTTTAAAAAATTATATTCTTTAATCAATAAAGGTTTCTGAAGAAAAAAAAATACTGTAGCCTACTAAAAATCTCCCACTCAACAGTGGGAAAATACTTATTTCTCCATTCCCTAAGATTTGAGAAGTACCTGATTCCACAGCAATAGACAACAATTGTTCTTACAGCCCTGTGTCGAAGAAATGTTTTCTCATTGTCTGAAGAATGGTTCATTTTGGCTGACCCACGTGGTGTATCCCAAGTCATGCTTCTACATAAACATTTTATGAACTGCAGCATTTTCAATCTTGCCCCCAAGTTTCCCTCCGACAGTAGCGACAGTGAGGTCTCCCGTGGTGTCATATTTCTACACTTTTCTTCTCACACGAAAAATAAGACTATTTTTGTCGTCCTAGTGCAATGCACACAGTTTAGTGCAATGCACACAGTTTAGTGCAATGCACACAGTTTAGTGCACTGACTGTTCCTTTGAAGTTGCACCACTTGATGAACACTTGCACTCTTTTTTATTCTTTGCTGCGCACAAATACCTCCCTCAGTAAGATTATCTCTGTACGGTAGCTGTATGTTAGAAATGTCCACCCCTGAACGGTCAGTGCCACAGCCCCCTGTGTACCCCTCTGGTGTACGTTCTGGCATCGACTCACCCCAGCCCACCTCTGTCTACTTGCAACAGCTCACCTACTGAATGGACTGGATGAATGGTTGGAAATACAGCAGACTTGTAGACAACCCCCACCCCACTCAGTACCAAACTTTACAACTCATTTTTTTTCTGGAAAATATTGACCACAGCCTTGATCTATGTCGTTTGAAGAAAAAAAAGAAGCAAATTGCTGTGTGTTCAGCTGAGTGATTCGGTTACTTTGTCCCCCTTGACTTTTCAGTCTCTCTGGAAAAACTCAGCCCAATGCTTTCTCTCGTGTTGAGTAGAATTCTGTCCACACTGTCAGTGAAATGTACCGGGGGAGGGGGTGGGGGGGGGAGGGCTCTAGGTGGCACAGTCAGATTCAGTCCCAGAAGTAGAACTGGAAGAGGTTGAAAGATAATTCCAAGTGTGCAAGTTTTCTTACCGTATATGTATATGTATATATATGTAAAGTTGTGGGGGCAAGTAACAAGTAACATGGTGTATACATTGTCTGTAGAATTGCAAGTGGTTCCCCCTCCTCCAGTAAGTTGTTGTTGGATGATTGTTGAGTCTGCTGGTGATAAGAAAAGTAAACTGCTTGTTCGTTTTGTGAGGACAAAATTGTACAATGTTATTTTCATAATTTCCTATAGTTGACGTATTTTGTACACTTGTGTAAAATCTAGCAGTTGTATCCCCCTATGCTATTGTCCAATTTGATGTATCTCGTGCGAATCATCCTTTGCCATAGACCCGACTATACAGGCTGGTTCTGAAGGTGCAGTCTGTCACAAGATTGCCCGTACTGACGGAACATTTCAATTCTGCCATCTCAAAATTAGCTGGCACCATGTCGTGTTGATCATAAAGAGAATACAAGTAAACTTAGGAGATACATGTGTGTCCTTGAGGCTGCGGCTATGTGCTCTACGAGCGTGCTGAGTCAGGCTGTTTCTGACACGTCTCAACGGATATAGCGGAGAAAGGATGTGCCAATACAGTTTTTACCAGTTATTTGTTCGCCAAAGTAGGTCATGTGTTCATCAAAGCAGAAACGACCCAGTTTTTTTTTCATGTCCAGCGTGCGTGTCCACCCATGTGTGAGTAGCTCTGACAACACTGTGCCATTTCTCGGTATCACAGGCAATAAACAATCAAGAGGTTCATTAAAACAAGGTGGAAATAAAAAATGAATTTTAATTTAGTAAAAAAAAAAGTTGATAACTTATGCATTTAAACCAGGTGGTTTTTGTGAAGACTGCTAATTTTGAGGCGCTGATTATGAATATGACATTAGATTTTTCATGTAAACTTGAAAGTAGAACTTTTTTCAGCTCTATCTGGGCCTATGGCTGATGAGTCGCCACAAGGTCCACCAATTGTTGCGTGCAGCGTTCCAACCAACCTGGTTCAGGTCGGGTTATGTTTGTGAACACGCAGGTTTCCCTGATTGCCAAGGTAAAAAACAACAGCCGATGCTCCGTTTCAACTGCTCCCAATATCCCGAAAGATAGACCACGTATGGACTGTCGCTTTCTGGTTTGGTGGACATACGGCTTTGTGGGTCTAGACGCTTTACACTCTATAGAATTTTAGAATTCAGGGAGGGGGGGGGGGGGGCTGTTTTTAGGAAGTATTTTTACTATTAGTGTATATATAATAGGTGGAATGTTGGTTTTTTTCTTAGCTTTTTGTACTGACGACAGATAGCCACAGACAGCCCAGTATGGGGGCTGGGGGCATGATGATGATTCCACCCCAGTGTATTCATTGTCTTCTCCTTGTCCAATAATAATATAAGCAATAAATACTTTCAAATCATTTTCTTGTGTCATTTTTTTTTTCTTCAGATTTTAAATATAATTTAGCATTACTGAACTATTGTTATGTGTGTGTGTGTGCCCGAAGAAGGGTACCAAAAGTCACATTTTCACCATTTTGATGTAACCAGTTGTACCTTATCAGAAATTCTATGCTGAACACAGTGGTTTTTGAAATTTTGAGATATCTCAAGTAGTTTTTGAGATATTGCACATTTTGCGAGGTAGGGTTTAAATATAAAGATATAATTTTGAGAAAATGAGCTTTCCGCCCTATCGGTACGTCGTGTTTTACTATCGTATCCATGCGACATGGGGAACTCTATGCCACCACTTTCAAAGAGGAAATTTACTAGTTAATCCGATCTGTACGCTTTCCATAGCACTCTGTCAAAATGATTTTTTGAGAAATACTGACAGTTTCAAAGAGATCTTCACACTAGAAGTATTCTAAAATGTGAAGAATAAACCCTGGGGGTACAAAATGACCCCAGGACGTACAGATAGGGTTAAGAACACCTAAAAACTGGAGAAAAAAACAATTATTCCATTTTTTTTGTCAAATCTATTTATTCATGGAAAATTCATTTTCAATTTAGCATTCTGTTGACATCAAGGTCATGATTAGAATTCCCTGATAAAACATAGCGGGGAAGAGAAAAGGAGCTTCAAGAAGAGATTTTAACACCTTTTAAAAGCAGTTTTCATTAATTTTTATAATACCCTACCCTCAAAATAATTCAAAATAAGATATTCAGAAGTCAAATCAATGAAAACCCTTTTAAGGTCACAGGCGGCTGAGGTTTGCGCTGATTTTCATTGAAAAAAATCTTTTTAAAAAAATTTGATTGCTCTTTTCTTTCATAGCTGTAGATGTAGAATCCATCCCAACAGCTTCCAATGATGGCAGTACGCTATAACAATATTTGTAAGTGTTTTTTCTGTGTATAGAGTGCCTTTTTGTGATGCTATTCTAGTTTTCCTGCTAAAACTTTACATCTGATCTTCTGAGGGGATGGTGTTCGTAGAGTTAGTTCAGCTAAAAAACAGTCATGTATAGCCTTTAAACTTTGCACACATCATGATAAGAGGTCAATCTGGGTAATAGACAGGTTTTTTCCTCCAATACGATAACTTATCGAGGAAAAAAATTCAGGCTTCTCCGTTCAAAAAATTGGTTAGAATTTACCCTCAAATATGGAAATTTAAAAATTTCATTAAAAAAATATAAATTATTATTTTTTTGTAAAATAAAGTTGTCAGTTACCCAGATTTACACTAAAATGAATGTTTTGTAGCATTTTTATCTTCCTGAGGGGAATACTTTTTCAGCTGAACTTTCTTTACGCTTTGTGTTTATGTTCAAGATGGCGCCATTACCATAGCAACGCAGACATTTGAACATTATTTTAAAACAGATTTATCTAGTCCTTGCTATACCGAGTACTATAGGAAAGTTGGAATTTATAAGTCCTAATTGTAATAACAAAATTGTATATTTCAGTAGCCTGTTCGCATAACACTTTGTTAAGAATTAGTTGAACTAGAATCTATCATTTTTTTATGGAAACACATTTTGATCCAAAGAGTGATGTTTCGTCATCAGCCTGTAGATCTAGTTTGTAACAGTCTGGGGCGACTTTTGGTATCTTTCTCCCGGCACAAACATATGTGGATGTTCTCGTGTCCGGCTTCTTTCCATTTTTGTCCTCCTACATGGGTAACCAGTGAATATCTCGCAAAGTGTTGGATTTCACACTAGTCAAGATCTCGCAATGTGTTGGATTTCACACTAGTCAAGATCTCGCAAAGTGTTGGATTTCACACTAGTCAAGATCTCGCAAAGTGTTGGATTTCACACTAGTCAAGATCTCGCAATGTGTTGGATTTCACACTAGTCAAGATCTCGCAATGTGTTGGATTTCACACTAGTCAAGATCTCGCAATGTGTTGGATTTCACAATATGAGTCACGACTCAGTGGAATCAGGCGCTCGTCAGTTTTGGGGCATATAGAGTTATTGGTATCATCTTAATGCCTGATTATTTGCCTTGCTTTTGACGGAAAAATATCCATTTATTTATCGGTATAAGTCAAGATATTGACCATTGAAGAAGGTGAGGGTTGCCTGGATTCAGAGGTAAAATTAGCGAGAAAATGGCTGCCAAATTTGCGTTATTTCCTTAGCTTGAGAGTCTGTGGAAACTGAAAATGTACATCTTTTATTCCTTTAATCAACGTTTTTCAGTAAAATGCACACAGAAAAGTGTTCTTTTATAGGCAGAAAAGGTGTTGAGCCCAAACAATAAAAATTCAATAAAAATTCAAGAACCTGCGGAAAAATGCTACTTTCTAAACTTCCGTTATTTTGACGAGCACCTGATTTCATCACGCTGCCTCACATGTAGTGCGGTTAAAAATTCGTGGCCCAATCTATTGTCAATTATCTCCTCAACTATCAAACATACACTGTCCAGCCTTTGCACCGTGACTGGTATCAATTTGTCTTAACAGATCAATATTTTTGTAAACACCTAAAGCTGTATTCTAGAAAATTCCTTAACTCAGTGGAGACTGGGCCTTTTTCGGGTCTACATGCGCTGAAGACTGGCATTTTGGGGGGTAGGCCCTATTTCAATATTTCAAACAACACCCGTCCCAATACAGCCACCATTTGTACACACAGAACAGATCTAAACATGCCAAATACGACCCAAAAAAACACAAAGGCAATATCTTTTCTACTTTTTTAGAAATGATTTTTGGAAAATGTGCGAAAATTTGTTTTTTAAAAAACAACAAAACCCCAAGAATATTAACCTTGTGTGTGTCTTTTATTTTGTTCTGTGTTTCAAAATGAATAAATAGTCCAAATTCATAAATGGGTAGGTAATCCATATGGTAATCCTTAGGTATTAGCTGTCGAATCCATTTCGGTGTGAAAAAAACAACTCCAGACAAAGCGGAATTTGACATTTGAAAGCCTAGTCTAGATCTAGAACATTCTCTATCAGAATCAGAGCTTTGATGCTCATTTACATTATGTTGGCGGGTGCTCTGTTGTGGTTTGCTCGTTCTTTCCTATTAACAACTCTCGTCCTGATCTCCCCTCCTTCTTTTTTGTGTTTGTTACTCTCTTGTAACACCTGTAATCTTCGGCACTTATATGACCTTATTGTGTTGCAAGTGGCGTAAAACTCTCACTAAAACTAAACTCCCAAAATGTAGCCTTGCTGAAAGATATAGCTCTAGATCTATATATGTGTGTGTGAGCCTGATGCAACTTTCAGAAGGGGCGAAGCGTCAGCAGAATCAAACAATCATGGCTTCCCTTTTCAAACAATGTCGTAGGGAAGTTCACCCCAGACGCAGGCCTTGATAAATTAAATAAATGTAATTAGACGCTCATAAGCACAGGTGAACAGTGTGCGCAACATACCCTGTTCGCCCCTTTCAGGCCAGTCCATAAGTAGTCAATAGCACAGATTTTCAGCGGAAACATTAGGCTGGTCGAGTCTACTTCAGAGAAGAAAAGGGGACATGTGCACAGCACTAAAAGCTGTTTCCTTGCAACAAAATTTACCCGTTCACCCGGTCTCCGCTAGCTGTATTTTTTAATTTGTTTTTAAAAGCATCTCCACTTGCTGGAATTTATTTTCTATTTTACAACCGTCTCCACTAGCTGTATTTTATTGTAATATTTATATTTACAAACCATCTCCACTACCTGTATTTTTTTTATATTTTTGAACTGTCTCCACTAGCTGTATTTTTAATTGTCTTTTATCCAACCGTCTCCATTAACTGTATTTTTTTTTCTTTTATCCAATCATCTAAACTTCCTATACTTTATTTTATGTTTTACAACCATATCCACTACCTGTATTTTATTTTATATTTTAAAACCGTCTCCACCAGCTGTTTTTTATTTTGTATTTACAAATCATCTCCACTTCTTGTATTTTATTTTATATTTTCCGATCATTTCAAATAGCAGTATTTTTTTTTTCTTTGTTCTGACCGTCTCCATTTTTGTGTTTTATTTTCTATTTTTCAAACGTCTCCACTACCTGTATTTTATTTTATATTTACAAACCATCTCCACTACCTGTATTTTATTTTATATTTACAAACCATCTCCACTACCTGTATTTTATTTTATATTTTCCAGCCATCTCAAATAGCTGGGGGTTTTTTCCCCTTTTTCTAACCTTCTCCACTTCCTATGTTTTGTTTTTTATTTTAAAACTGTCTACACTAGCAATATTTTATTTTATATTTTTCAACTATCTCCACCACCTGTAATTTATTTTATATTTTAAAACAGTCTGCACTAGCTGTATTTTTTATTGTCTTTTTTCCAACCATCTCCACTACCGGTATTTTATTTCAAATTTTCCGACCGTCTCCACTAGCTGTATTTTATTTTATATTTTAAAACCGTCTCCACTTGCTGTAATTTTTTTTCTATTTTACAACAGTCTTCCCTAACTGTATTTTATTTTAGATTTTCCAAACAATCTCCACTACATGTATTTTCTTTTATGTTTTCCAACCGTCTCCCCTAGCTGTATTTTAATTTTAATTTTACTACCGTCTCCCCTAAATGTATTTTATTTTATATTTACAAACCATCTCCACTTCCTGTATTTTATTTTATATTTTACAACCGTCTCCACTAGCTGTATTTTAATTTTAATTCTAAAACCATCTGCACTTCCTGAATTTTTAAAAATATTTTCCAACCATCTCCACTAGTTGTATTGTATTTTCTCTTTTAAAACCGTCTCCACTAGCTGTATTGTATTTTTTAATTCTAAAACCATCTGCACTTCCTGAATTTTTAAAAATATTTTCCAACCGTCTCCACTAGTTGTATTTTATTTTCTCTTTTAAAACCGTCTGCATTTCCTGTAATTTTTTTTCTATTTTACAACCATCTCCCCTAAATGTATTTTATTTTCTATTTTTCAACCGTCTCCCCGAGCAGTATTTCATTTTAT